TAGGGATGTACCAATGTCCAAATCTCTCGATATGATATTTTCACAACATGATTCTCACGGTGCGATATTTATTTCGATATTTGGTGGAAGCAAAGTGAACAAAATTGTGAAACATGCTACTATTCTGTAAATGATTAAGATTTTAAAGTGCTTTCATCATCATGAGTTGGACTGAAACTGAGCAAGGGATCATGGTATATGTAGTTTTCTCTGTTTTTGCACCATAACGATTCATTTAAGCAAAGAATATGTAATTCGATATAATGTGATGGCCCACGGTATTATTGTGAGACTTTTGATGATACGATATCACAGTATTTTTGTTAATGTTACATCGTTACTTAAGTAACAAAATCAAGTACTTCTTCCACCACTGAATTTTGGGTAATATTGTACAATGGATTTGAAAAAACATTTTACACAACTGTCTGCAAATGAACAAAACATACAGTATATACTTAAATATCGTTAATTCAATCAGTATTTCATGAATCGTGCCTATCTTATAAAATAAATTGCCAAATTGTTATTAGGACAAACTGGCCCAAAGTCTTAAAAGATAATACTAGAAATACCTGTAGTGTTTTGCCTTGAGGTATCGTCGTATTATTTTAGAATACACATTGCGTTTTAGTTGTTTTTCGTTTTGGTTTATGCCTCTATCAACATTGCTATTTAGTGACAAAGGACCTGTTGACATATATTAAGGTGCCAATTGTGAATGTTCACTATTTAATGCACCCTTTAATTTAAGATACATGTTTAGAGATCGTCTTTAATTTACTTTTTTTTTTTTTATTATTGTTTCATAGGTGCGTTGTGTAACTTTCATAGGTCCGTCACCTTCTTGTTTCTGTGGTTATGTCATTACTCTGCTTCGAATGTTCCACAGTGTGACATTAAACAGCTCTAACTTACATTGATTCAATTACAAGTGGGTTTATAGCTCAAAAATGCCTAGAAAAATGAAGATTCTGACTGTGAGCAGCGTCGCCTCTCCACAAATCTGACCTCTACATGATGATGGAAAGGTTTAAAGCCACACTGTGAAACATTTCTGACAAAGCAATAACATCTCCATGGAGAAAAGCACTTGATGGACCCTTCACCGGAAAAGTTACACAATGCACCTTTAACTGTGCCGCTGTTTGAATGATTGTATTCTGGGCCCATGCATTTGAATGGTATTTAACATTACCTCAACACTTATCTGGGCAATTAAGTGTCTTCTTTGTACATCCATGTTTGACAGGTATTTTCATTCATAAAATATGGATTCAGTTTTCAAAAGACTTTGAGCTTTTCTCCGATGACTGCAATAGATGGGAATGTTTTGCTACTCATTTTCAAACATTGGTTGTCATCAATAAAACTGCTTTAAATTGTAATTTATATTGTCTTTTTTCTGATTTTCCTTCCTCAGCGCCAACATTTTAATAGGACACATTTAAAGGGTCCATATTACTGTATTTTCTGACAAATGTTATAAGGATTTCCTCATCACAAACAGACCTGGAGTTGTGTTTTGTTTCATTCACACATGTTAAACACACAAACTAAAACTATTTAGGCTGTTCTTCTTAAACAGAAGTGCTCCATTATGATTTTAAAGTGACAGTCCAGAATTTCGGACACAGGACCTCATTTCCTAGTGAGCCAGAGTGTTGGAGACGTGTGGAGACACTTCCATCCATTCCTTGTATTTGCAGAGGTCGCTGGTGCTACTAAAAACAGTCTTACTCACTCCACAAAATACCTGAAGCAAATCTATTATTACACCAGACTGTCAATGTAAATGTCTGTGTTGATAAAATAATGTTTGAAATAAAAGTAACCTTGCAGCGAATGAATCATCACATGTTGAGGGACTATTTTCTCAAATATCAGTCCACCGCTGCCAAGCTTTTTTATCAGGAAATACAACTCACTGCTGCTCAGACATAAATCCTTCAAATGCAAGGTTGTTGTTACTTCTAAAATTATTCTATCAACACAGACATTCACATCGACAGTCTGGCGTAATAATAGATTTGCTTTGGGAGTTTTGTGGAGTGGGTAAGACTGTTTTTAGTGGCAGGCTAACTATAGCCATTGACATGCACTAGCCTAGCACCAGCGACCTCTGCAAATACTGGAAGGACTGGATGGAATATTTTAAAAAGTGTTTCTCCACACATCTCCAACACTCTGACTCACTAGGAAATGAGGTCCTATATCCAAAGTTCTAGACTGTCCCTTTAAACTCTACACATCTTCATGAGAGTCATTTGAATAATTTCAACTCTGGAATTTCCAATGTCTACTAAACAAAAGGTAAAATGTAGCTTGAAAAGTAACTTGAAAACTACCATTACATGACATCACAAGGTGGAACAGAGCATTTTGAGCTTTGGAGATGTAGACGCATAATAATGCAGGATTACTCAGACGTGTGAATGAAACAAAACACAACTCCAGGTATGTTTCTGATGAAATAACAACATGCCTGAAATAACTTAAAGCTCACATGAGTCAATTTTGTGTAATTTAGGAAGTTTCATTATGGTTTATCTCATATTTTCTCATATTTTCTTCAATATATCGCTCAAATATGTGTTAATTTCTATTGACCAAACATACCAAAATAGTTTAATATATTATATGAGCTTTTGACACCGGTGGTAACTATTTTATTTCCTGTTATTTCCACTTCAGTGCGGTAAATGAGTCTGTTTTTATAAGTGTTACAGCAGCCACCCCACCAGTCTGGCAGCCTTTTCCTGGGGCTTGTCTGCAGCTCTTTTTACATGGGCTCATTAAACAAGTTGGCGCACCTCTTTCCAGGGAAGCGTCTGTTATGTTTTGAGTACTTTCTCTGCTCTGTGTAAAGCCTCTGGGGTCAGCGGTGAAGGGTGGCACGCGTCAACAGAACTATTATCAAAGCAAACAAGTTATCTTATCTTATGATCTTATGAAGGTTTGTTAATTCTGTGAAACACTATTGTACTGAACCGAGAGCTGTGGTTGTCAGTCTTTTTAACCGTGATGGAATTTTGGCTCATACTCATAATGCATTTCTTAAACTTTGATTACACTAAAAGAAAAGTTAAAGGTTAAAAGAAAAGTTAAATGTTAAAAGTTAAAGGGCCATTGCTATTTTCTGATCTATGTTATAATGTTGTTTCCTCATCATAAACAAACCTGGAGTTGTGTTTTGTTTCATTCACACGTTTAACATACAATTCTTCCATATTTAGGCTGATTTATTTACAGAAAACATACTCCACTGTGTTTTTAAACTCTATACACCTTCACTAGAATAATTTTCAGCCCTGGAATTGCTGAACAAAGGTAAAGAGTACCTGTTAACTTGAAAACTACTACTTAATCGCAAGGTGGAACAGAGCATTTTGAGTTTTGTAGATGTAGACAACCTTAAGCATGTGTGAATGAAACAAAACACAACTCTGGCTATGTTTTTGATGAGCTAACAACTTTCTAAAATGGCTTAAAGCTCACAAGAGTCAACGTTGTGTAATATAGGAAAATAAATGCATAGTTATCTTATTATTACAGTTTTTACACATAACATACAGAATTACCCTTTTAATGACTTATATGTTGTATTATTTTAATTTTGTGTGTGATTTGACTATATCTTCACTAGGGGTGAGCAAATATATTGAAATACCGATATATTGTATTGGTTTAATGTGATGATACAGTATCGATAGAGTATTTTTTGGTGTATTTTACTAAATTATTTTGTTACAGTGCTACAGTTTTGTTGCTTTTTCAGCAGAGGCAAACTCGTTTATGCAACACATTTGACATATTCACTGTTTTTGATGATTAAAATGTTTGTGTTTCATGTTAATTTGCACAAGAAGTGGTTTAACAAAGACTTTTAGTGTCACAGCCATGATTTAGACATTATTTTTTATATATTGAATGGATTTGAAATATGTCATATTGAATTGTATCAAATAGAAAACTCACTGTATCGAGATATGTATTATTACGTGGCCTTTGTATCAGGATCTGTATCATATCGTGGCCTTTATATCAAGAAATGTATCATATCGTGGCCTTTGTATTGAGATTTGTATCGTATCGTGGCCTTTGTATCACGATATATATAGTATCGTGGCCTTTGTATCGAGATATGTATCGTATCAGCAACTTATGAATGATACGCGGCCCTAACCTTCACAAATTTTTATGGCAAAACGTATTTTACCTACAGTTATTACACACTTGTAAATGGCACAATTTAATTAAATGCGTGGGTAAATTAAATATTGATGATGAGATATTACGTATAGTTGACTTAGCGTGTTAGCTTTCAAAATATTAATTCAGTTTAATGACTTGACTTAAGCGTGTGGGGGAGACGACGCATAGACGAGTAGTGCCTGCTTAGTCCAATGCTAATTAAAAGCTTCCCTTGTCTATTAGGCCCAACAGAAGATTAGCTGTTATCCCTCAGAAGTGAGCAGTCCAGCCCCATCTGTCACTCACACACACCACTATTCAACCTTCATTCTCTACACTTAGACACGCTCCAATTACAAAAGGGGCCCATATTACACTATTTTATGATCTAAGTAGGTAAGTTATAATGTTGTATCCTCATCGCAAACAAACCTGGAGTTGTGTTTTGTTTCATTCGCACATGTTTAACACACAAATCCTGCATATTTAGGCTGAGTTCTTCTCTGAAATAGAAAACACTTGGGTTTTTGCACTCCATACACCTTCACTTGAATCATTTGGATAATTTCCAGCCATGAAATTGACAATCTCTACTGAAATTAAGGTAAAACGTAGCTGTTAACTATCGCTATATGATTATCGCAAGGTGGACCAGAGGATTTTGAGCGTTGGAGATGTAGACAGGATTACTCAAACTTGCATGAAATAAACAAAACACGACTCCAGGTGTGATTTTGAGAAGGAAACATGATAACACAGATCAGAATACAGCGTAATATTTAAATAAAAAACTGAGGAAACATTGCTTTAAATGATGATATAGGTTTAATTTTGTTAAAACTGCATAGCATTGAAAATAACATCAAATAGGGACAGAAGGCACTTACAAAACAAATAAAGTTATTACAGATAGTGTTATTAAAACATTAAATTACTGATTCAAAACAACATGATGAGGATAAAAGACATGAAATGACAGCACCGTTGGCAACATATGAACAGTACATTTCCAAATAAAAATACGCATAATTTCAAACTACAGTACAAGAGCAACTCATCTGTTAAGAATGTAATGCCCGAGCTATGACATAATGATCATTGCAATAAAGTTTAAACATGTTTACTAGTCTGAGGTTCCTTTTATTATATTTCTTTACACTTTAGGCTTTGTGGTTTCGGCTTTGTGCAAGTCCTGGTACCTCTCTATCAGGCGGTTAGCTTCCCTCTGACCTGACAGCAAAGCACCATGGGTAGTGGAATAGTATTTGCGGTGTGTGGCCTCTCCAGCGAAAAGGACCTGTAATGGCTACGAAGAAAAAAAAAACAAAAAGAAGAAAACTTTGGTTAAAGGTTCTATATAATTTAAATGTACTACTTTTTAGCTTTTAGCCATGTCACAATGCTGTTACCTTGTCAAAAACAGACCTAGAGTTGTGTTTTGTTTCATTCACACACGTTTGAGTAATCCTTTATTATTAGTCTGTTTATATTTCCAAAGCTCAAAATGCTCTGTTCTACCTTGTGATTTCATGAAGTGGTAGTTTTCAGGTAAACAGCTCCCTTTTACTTTTTGTTCAGTGGAAATTGGTAATTCCAGGGCTGAAATCATCTAAATGATTTCAGTGAAGGTGTATGGAGTTTAAAAACACAGTGGAGCACTTCCTGTATTACCACATGACATCACAAGGTGGACCAGAGTAGGGGTGTGCAAAAATATTGAACTATCAATATATCGTATCATTTACTGTGATACAGTATTGATATTGTGGGCTGCTGTATCGATATATCACCAAGAGTATTTTTGGTGTATTTTACTCAATTATTTTGTTACAGCCCTAGGAATGTAACAATATTCAAAATAAAGTCTCACAATAATATCGTGGGTCGTCACAATATATCGAATCTCAAGTCTCTTTGCTTACATTCATGGTTTTGGTGCAGCAACAGCTAAAACATTGTGAGAACTACATAGACCATAATCCTTTGCTCTGTTTCAGTCCAATCTACATGCTGAAATAAATGATATGAAGCATTTTAACATCATAATTTTTTGGACTTTTGGATGACGAGAGAAAAGTACCGCATTCACAATTTTGTATTATTATACATTTTTTGTCTCCAGAAAATATCGCAATAAATATTGTATCATGAAATGGATATCGTGAAAATATCGAATCGAGAGATTTGGATATTGTTACATTCCTACAGCGCTACAGTTTTGTTGCTTTTTAGAGTAAGGAAATTCGTTAATGCGACACATTTCACATTTTCACTGTTTTGATGATTAAAATGTTTGTGTTTCATATGAACTTTGCACAAGAAGTGGTTTAACAAAGACTTTTAGTATCACAGCCATGATCTAGCTATTATTTTTATTGAACCGTATTGAATCGATTTGAAATATATCGTATCAAATCAAAAGTGCACTGTATAGAGGTATGTATCGTATCGGCAACTTCTTATTGATACCCAGCTCTAGAGTGTTTTCTGTTTGAGAGAAGAACTCAGCCTAAATATGCAGGTTTATGCGTTAAACATGAATAAAACAAAACAAAACTCCAGGTCTGTTTTTGATGAGGACACAACATTATAACATAAATCAGACAATAGTGTAATATGGACCCTAACATGTGAAAAAACATGTTAGCCTTGTTGACATGTTGAATTTATTTTAAGCTTCATTTCAGTGTCATCTTGGGACACACAGCAAATGCGCGTAGGAAGCCAGCTGAGGGGGTCAAGCTGTTCCCTCTGCAGTCTCAAATGAACAGGCGTAAACCCTTCCCACAATGCATCAGGTTTCATGGTCTAGACTCTGCCAGTACTTCTGATACTGTATGTGCTTTAGTGTGGTCACGATTAGGGCTGGGGATCATTAAGAAGTTGCTGATACGATACATACCTCGATACATAGCGCCATGATACGATACATATCTATATACAGCACACTTTCGGTTTGATACGATATATTTCAAATCGATTCGATACGGTTCAATAAAAAGTAATGGCTAACTCATGACTGTGATACTAAAAGTCTTAAACCACGTCTCATGCAAAGTTCATATGAAACACAAACATTTTAATCATCACAACTGTGAAAATGTCAAATGTGTTGCATAAATGAGTTTCCTTACTCTAAAAAAGCAACAAAACTGTAGCACTGTAACAAAATAATTTTGTCAAATATACCAAAAAATACTCTTGTCGATATATAGATACATCAGTCCCCGATATCAATACTGTATTATCACATTAAATCATACGATATATCGATATTTCTATATTTTCGCACACCCCTAGTCACGATACTACCACTTTTGATATTAAGGAATAGACTTGATACTCAATACCGATTCTGATACCACGAAGATAATAAAACAAAAAACAAAAAAAAAACACTCTCTTGAGACTTTATGTGATTTTTAACATTAAAGCGCTGATATTACACTATTTCCTGATCTGTTCTAATGCTGTTTCCTCATCAAAAACATACCTGGAGTTGTGTTTTGTTTCATTTGTACATGTTTAACACACAAACCCTGCATATTTAGGCTGAGTTTTCCTCGCAAACTGAAAACACCCTGTTCCACCTTGTGATGTCATGTGGTAATACAGGAAGTGCTCCACTATGTTTTTAAACTCCATACACCTTCACTAGAATCATTTGGATAATTCCAGCCTTGAACTGCCAATCTCTACTGAACTAAAGGTAAAAGGCAGCTGTTAATTTGAAAACTTATTACTGAATGACATCACAAGGTGGAAAAGGGCATTTTGAGCTTTGGAAATGCAGACAGACGAATAACAAAGGATTACTCAAACATGTGTGAGTGAAACAAAACACCACCCCGGGTATGTTTTTGAGGAGGGAACAACATTCTAACATAGTTTAAAGCTCACAGGATTAAATTTAGCATCAATAAGCCCTTTAAATCTATAAAAGATAAAAGCAGTTTAAAGCTGTAATCTGGAGGGCATCTGTGGGGCAACATGAAAAATCACATATAATATCAGATATGTTTAAAAAGACAGTCACACAAAAACTAGACGCAACTCATTTAAGATTTATGTACTAGGAAGTGCTCTGAGGTTAAGGGTTTAAGCTGCAGATAAAATAATAATAATGAAAAATTTTGAACATTTGCCAGTTTTCGGTCCTGTGGTGTGTGACAGTTGTAATTCCTGATATTATTAATAATGGGACACTTACATAATTATCAAACTACAGACATACAAAATAATTTATTATAAATGTATAACATGGCAAATGTCCAGCAGGGCATGTTAAAAGAAAGTATGTTCTATTTGTGAAAAGGTTTCTTCTATGATACAATAATCTTAGACAGACAGCCAGACATCAACACGACAAATTAAACAATAAACACAAATAAAAACAATAATAATATTCAACAAAAATGACAACCAAAAATTAAACCACACTGACCAGGGTGAACAGGACAGACAGGACAGACAGGACAGACAGGACAGATAGGACATGTGTGACAGCAGAGGCGGCGCTACCATTAGGCAAAAACAGGTGACAGCCTAGGGCCCTCAAACCTGGATGGGCCCCCAACCAATTGCCCTCAGTGCCACTAATGGCCAAGGCCTCAGAGCAATTTGATTTTCTCTCATTTCTCTTTGACATTAAATGAGAGTAGTTTACATTTAGATAATAATCATAAGAAAAATAATAAAATTCATATGTAATGGATGTAAATAAAAATGTAATTGTACAAGCAAAAAATAAAACTACTTTCAGTTCTGTTATTTAGTAGACGACCGAACTAATGAGACAAGTTTCCATTCCACTATAACTGAAATAAATAGAGATGTGCATGTCTCAAGAACAATGGGGAAAAACTGACAATAAATATATTTAAAAAACAAAACAGAAAAGCGGTTCATTATACTGAGGGCCCCAAACTCAAGTTCACCTAGGGCCCCCAAATTCCTAACTCCACCACTGTGTGACAGAGGGAGGAGAGACAGGATATGTGTGACAGAAAAGACAGAAAATAAATTATAATGTTGTAGACTTCAGAACCTGTTTCAGTCCCATTTTAATAGTTCAAATTTTTGGGAATGTAAGAGCAACCTATTATTGTTTGTAGCGATAATTTATTCAGTTATAAATTGTAGACTTAATTTATTTTTAAAGTATGCCAAACATAGGTCCTCATTAATGACTTTGAAAATCAAAATTTTCCCCACTAAAATAATGGTGTTCACTAATATTGATGAGAGATTATTCAGCACGCCAACAAATATATTCATGGGACTAATCTCTAGAGTGATTCTGAATTCCTTCAACTACTTTTGAATTGAAAAGCCAAAACTGGGACACATAAGGACAATGGTAGAATAGAGGCATTATATCGTCCTCTTCCTCCGACACATTGAGTCTTCTTTGATACTGCATAGTTAAAGGTATCATGTTCATAATATTTAGCTATAATTTTGTGCAATATTTTTAATTGAAAGATTCTTGAGTAAGAATCTGTTGTGGTGATATATATCTCTAAAAGTGTTTTTCCATTTAATTGGATAATTAAATTATTCTTCCCAATGTGCAGTACTGGACCTATGCAAGTTAAATTTATATACACTGTTGTTTATTTGGATGATAACCATCTTAAACGCTTTGATTGTGAAAAGGCTTCTTAACAATTGTTGCACAACTGGTTTATTATTTTGTGTATTTTACTACAGCAGCATGTCACGCCACAGCACAGTATGCACTGAAACAAAAGTTTCAGTGCATACTGTTACTCTCAAATTGAAAACTCTCTGTTCCACCTTGTGATGTCATGTGGTAGTACAGGAAGTGCTCCACTGTGTTTTTAAACTCCATACACCTTCACTAGAATGATGTGGATAATGATATGTGTTTGAATGAAAACTAGCTTCATGACATCACAAGGTGCAACAGAGCATTTTGAGCTTTGGAGATGTAGACAGACTAATAAACCAGGGTTACTCAAACATGTGTGAATGAAATAAAACAACATCAGGCGTGTTTTTCAGTGAGAGAGTGAGTGATTTTCACATAATATAGGACCTGTTCATTTGAAATTTAAGAATTTATTAAGGTCGAAATGGGGTTGAAGATCAAGACTTCAGCTATGTCAGAAAACTACAGTGATGTTGTCTTCACTATTGTCATGTAAATGTTGTGTGCATGTCTTACCGTGGCCTTGGTGCTGTTGGCATAAGGCAGTGGCATGGCCAATCTCTCACAGTCCCCCCCACTGGAGCCCACCCTGGTGAAGGAGTACGAACCCCGGATGTACGGGTTACTGCCCCACGAAGAGCGCAGGATTCGGAGAGGCTTCGGAATGTCGGGGTTCCCTATAAAACATGAAGAATACTTGAGAAGAACTGATTTTGTTTTATTTTTTCAGTTGTGACTAGGGATGTTACAATATCAAAAACATCATGATTTTACAAGAATTCAGACTAATTTGATGGCTAACCCTGGGTTCCAGTAAAGTACATTTCTCATAAATTTTCTTCATAGACAGAAAATTCTATTAAAAGTTCAAAAGCTTGCTCAGGCATAATCAGCTATGTGGTAATGGATGAGCACAAGGCTTCAAATCTGTTTCTGAAACCACAAAGTTATTAAGCATTTTCACAATGTTGTGGTTTAATGTGCTTTTTGGACTGTTTGAATTGTTAATTTGAATATTTGTATATGTGTCTGTGGGAAAAATGAAAAGATAATTTACTTACAGAACCAGAACAGACCATTCAAACTATCAAAGCTTTATAAAACTTTCTGAATGATAAAGTAAAGGTAATGAGATGTAAGCATAAAAGCACTTAACATTTTTTAAAATAAGGAGAGTAGAGGGGATAGAGAAGGTAGGGGGGAGAGAGAAGGATGGAGAGAAGGAGGAGAGAAAGGGAGACAAGACCGAGAGAAAACATGAGAAAAAGAGGAGCGGCTAAGAGAGGAAGGAAGAGGGAGAGACCGGCTGAGAGCGGGGGTGAAAGATTTAGAATAAGGAGAGGAAGATTAGGATAAGATTTATTAAAATGACGTTTTCATTCTAAAGTTCTCACAATTCTATGTTTTAATCCCAGTGCGATTACATTGTGATTTTTTTAATCACAACTATCGATCAACTGAGTAATCTTGACAACATATGCTACTGTATTTGCCGCTACTCCTAATGCTTTTAATCAGAATGCAGCCTTGTTAATCCACTGCATTGTGACCAGTTCATTTTTCACTGGCAAGCTCTGACTGACACACGTGAGTCACTGTAAGCTGAAAGACACCGATGAGTCTACTCTATGTATATGTAATTAAGCAACAGCTGAACGGATTACAGCATGGTGACCTAGATGTCACTGAGTGTGTGTGTGTATAGGAAAGCAGCATACGTTAGGAGATACACACACCTCATCATGCAACAGCAATAGTGGATCTGAACTCATTATTTGACCCATTTGTCATCTGAAAAACATGAGCCATTTTCTAGATTCACATGGAAACAGACTCAAAACAGGCAAATAGGCTCCTCTAGGCAGTAATGCTAAATACTCAATAATTACGTGTTTTATCAGTCCACCTCTGGGCCCATATTATGCTATTTTCTGATCTGTGTTATAGTGTTGTTTACTCATTGCAAACCAGAGTGGTATTTTGTTTCATTCTCACATGTTTAACACACAAACGCTGCATATTTAGGCTGGTTCTTCTCTCAAACAGAAAATACACTGTTCCACCTTGTCATGTCATGTGAAAAAACAGTGTAATACTGTGTTTTTAAGATCCATACACCTACACTAGAATAATTTGGATAATTTCAGACCTGGAATTACCTATTTCTGCTGAACTATAGGTAAAAGTTAGCTGTTAACTTGATAGCTACCACTACATGATATCACAAGGTGGAAGAGTGTATTTTGAAAAGCTCACAAGAGTCAGTTTGCGTAATATATGGCCTTTAAATGTGTTTGTGGCATAAGTAAGCGGAGCAGCTAAATACACTTTGCCTTATCTTCTGCATCATTAATCCCAGAGTGTGAATGTGGTGGTGACACATGGTCCCTGTACACAAAGAGCCCTCTCCACCTGAGTCACTGCTGTATTATATGTCAGTGAGTTTTTTTCAACTCAAGTCATGAAAGACGCTTCCATAATTGTTTTGTATTCAGCTACAGTGTGTTATGAGTCACTATGCTAACAAGGGTTTACAGGCACTAGACAGTAAACAGACACCATCTTTTCCCACTTTTTTTTTTTTAATATTGCATTTGTATTATATTTGTATTGTGTATAAGTATTTATTTCTTTTATGAGATATTCTTATGTAACATATTTATATCAGATGATATTATGTGCCGATACTGAAAAATTTGGATCGGATAAGGCTTTCAAATATCGGTTTAGTTGATCTCCTGACTGGACATATAAACTGAAATATAAGACTTTGTGGTCATAGCTGGCTCAAAAATCAGTTTGAATTTTAACAAAAAGTTGTTCCTTGAGAGATAAATAACACATTTGGATCAGTTTATCAGATCAGTGTCTTATTTTCTTTTTGTTTAAAGAAAATAAATGTAGTTTTCAGTCAGTGGTATCGGTTGATATTGGGGATCAGTAGATACTTAAAGCTATAGTATCAAAAATGGTATTGGAACTGAAAAAGCTGGATTGGTGCATCCAAAATAGTTGTCCAAGTAAACACCTTGTTAACTAAACTATTCGTAAACTTCCCCACATGCTGCTGCCTCCCTCACCTGTAAACCGCCTGAACAGCTCTGTGCAGGTTTCAGCCACCATCTCATCGTCACAGCGCTCCATGTAGAGGGCTTCCTCTCCGCAGATCCAGCCACTCAGCATGTAACCATAGCGCTCAGGTGGGTACAGCACATCAAAGCTGCAGATCTTCTTGTACCACTGCTCCTCAGGATAGACCAGCTGCTCCAGGTGAGCCTCATCCTCCCACACAAACTGGATACTGTTGCATTCTGGGCTCCAGAAGGGCTCTGCGTACTCTAAGAAGATCTTGTTGGTGGTGCTGATGCCCAGCTTCTCTATGGCCAGCACTTTATCTTCAGGCAGAGGAGGGGAGAACATGGACTCATGGTTCTTCTTCAGAACGCCCAGAGAGGCAGTGATGATCACATGATCTGCTGGTATCCACTCCTCATCCTCACACTCCACAGAGATGGGGTGTCTCAGGATCAGGGGGTCTTGAGGCTGGCTGTTGTTGTCGTTGTGATTGTTGTCCTGGTTGGCGATGACTTCATGGCGTTGGGCGGAGTAGTTCCAGTGGATACAGCGCACAGGTTTGTTTAGTGTAATACTGTTGGAGGGAATGTCCTGAGCCAGGACATCTACGATCTTCATGAAACCTCCAGGAATGACGTGATGTGCTCCGGGGATGGCTGTCCATTCCCCAAACTCACTGAGAGACACCTCATCCATACTGGGAGAGCCACTCTCACAACTCTCCACCTGAAAAACAGGACAAAGATTAACATTAACATTTACTAGTTACACTTTGAGCATATACAGCTTACAGATTTACAACCTAATAACATATTTAAACATCCATTTTTGCCTCCACCTGTTTGTTTCAGTATGGACTGCATTCACTGTAATGTTCCACAGTCTGACATTAAATATATACATTTTGCATTTATTACCATATAACATTTGAGGCAACGCAATGACAAATGTGTGGAGGCAAGCAGGTGGCGAACCCTCCACCAGAAAACTTACATAATGTACCTTTAAATACTGTCAGTGGTCAATGCTGGTTAGTTGACTTTGTATGCTTCCTCCTTTTGATAAAAACCTGCCGTGGTGATCAGGGATGTGCCAATCTGATATCAAAATAACTGCTGGATCAGGCCTCCAAATATTGGTTCAGCCGATATCCTGATTGGGCCTATGAACTGAGGTAAAAAGACTTTTTACTGCTCGTAATTGGCCCAGAAAGTCTCATAATGTTGAAACTTTTTTTTTTACAAAGATGTTCTGTAGTTGCTTGAGGGAAAAGTAACTACATAACATATTTGGATTAGTTTAGTCTTATTTTATTTTTATTATTTTGTTTAAAGGAAATAATTGCTGAAATCTGTATCAGAAGCGAAAAGGCTGGATTGGTACATCCCTCGTGGTAATGGAGAGGACACTGGCCTTGAGGTACTGCTGCAGCATGGACAGTTTGAGTTTCTTGGTGCTCTCTGAATCATCGGGATCCATCATGATCCTTTTGCGCACCACGTCCCGAGTGAAGACGCCCACAGAGTTCTGGCTCTCGGCGCATACAGGTTTTCCCCTCTGGAAGAACTCCTGTGTCAGCTCGTACACCTGCAGCACCAGCACATCACAGACAGGTTAGGCCACAAACAGGTGTGGACATGGGCTGTGCCTCGACCTGCAAGTCCTAACCCTGAACTTCTAAGAATGAAAGTACAATTAATTAGTGTTTCTAAGAATGCTCCTGTCATGATATTAAAAGGACTAGGTGCAATACTCTATAATGATTTCAACATTTAAATGAAAAGTTCATGTTTTTGCTGAATATTTTCAACAATATGATAGTCCTCTCTTTATATTACCATCAGACTTATACTTCTGTTAAAGCTCATAATTTTTCTAAAACTGTTCAGGAGTAATATTTAGCATTAATATATGTCTGATGCTAGTTTTAGTCTTAGTCTTTTAGTCTTTTAGTGTCTGAATTGTTATTTGATAGAAACACCAGTTTCCAGTGTTGCAAATAACAATTTGTTTTGCTAAACGATTCAACAAGTGAATATTCTTTCTATTAAGCAAAAGGCCTCTGTCCAATTTTTCATCAAAACATGAATGGATTCATTGATTTCTCATCCAAGGGAACTGAAGAACTCAGAACTGAAGAAGCCGCTTGGATGAGCAGCGAAACATCTGCACTCAAAAAAGTTTATCCAGTTCACAGAATTTTCTTTTGTGGATCTGGCTTGTACGACTGAGGGATTACACAGACATTAATGGATTAACTAGTTACAGTTTCAATAGTGTGTACAGCAACAGTCTGTCATATAAATCTTCAACACTTTACAGGTTTCAAGACATATGTTTAATGGATCACTTTACTATTACTATTTACTATTACTCTATTGCTGTATCATTTAGTATCACTAAAATTGTGCCTTTTGTGGTGATAAATAATAAAGGCCTTGTCCCTGCACAGATAACTAGAAGAATATGAGGCTTTCTAAGAACTATAAACATAAGATTAAACACCGTCACTGTGAAGTCTATGATGAAGATGTCAAAATAGCAAAAAAAAAAACACAACAAAAAACATACTGAGGGCAATCCAAAGCCATTGAGCTCTCCCTTTAGTTTTCCAGACGTGACCTAGATAACCAGCGCTAATCCTGACAGGGGCTTCAGAGAGGACTTGATACACAAATGACCGATGTTAACCAGCATGCTAACAAAAACATCAGAAAAACAAGATCCAATTCATGTCATGTTATAGTTCGCACATCGGCTAGAGGCCATCAGAATCAGATAAAAGCCGTCTTTCTGAGTATCACATGTATTTTCTGTTACGTAAAAAGCCAATTGAGCCCTTGTCTGTACAGATCACGCTGACCTCGCTGTACAGGTCGCTGAACTCCTCCACCAGGTCCTTGGGGATCCTCTTGCCCGCATTGGTCTGGTAGTGGGCCACGCCGCTCTTGGTGTACAGGCTGATTCTGCCAACGCTCCTCTCCTCATCCGTGGTGTGCTCCAGCAGCCCGTTGTCCTCGGCCAGGTGGTACACTGGGTTCCCATTTGCCCCATGGATCCAGGTCGCTCCAAGCTCCAATGTCGATTTACCTGAATGTGTGTAAAAAGAAACAGCTAAGCATTGTGTTTTGTGTGTAGATTGAATTCAAAAGCGTGCCTGGTTGGAGTCGGCTGATGGTTAGATAACTTATATAATGAGGACAATTTAAAGGCCACGAGCTATTTTCTGATCTGTGTTATAATGTTTTTTCCTCATCACAAACATACCCAGAGTTGTGTTTTGTTTAATTCACACAGGTTTAACAAACATTTCCTGCATATTTAGGCTGTTTTTCTCTCAAACAGAAAACACTCTGTTCCACCTTGTGATATTAAGTGGTAATCCAGGACCACACCTTCACTAGAATCATTTGGATAATTTCAGCCCTGCAATTTCCATTCTTTTCCAAACAATACGTAAGAGGTAGCTGTTAACTTGCAAACTACCACTTCATGACATCACAAGGCGGAACAGAGCATGTGAGGTTTGGGAAGTTAGACAGACTAATAAACAAGGATTATTCAAACTCGTGTGAATAAATCAAAACACAACGCCAGGTATGTTTTTGAAGAGATAACCACATTATAACATGGCAAGAGTCAATTTTGCAAAATATAGGACCTTTAATTACTGTTTAAACTCTGGTGTAAACATTGAAAGAATGTTAATTTAGTACTTTTCCAATATAGTACATGGTTGTATTTTTGAAAGGGTCTCTTACAGTGTGCTGGCGTAATGCAAAAAGAAAGCCTTAAATAACCACTCTCATAAACCGTTGTTTATATAACATAGTGCATTATCAGTGAGATTAGGTTTAACAGAACAGTCTGTTTCTATACACAGCTCAGTATAATATGTGACATATGTGCCTCGCACTGGAGCCCTGTAACACAAGGAAACAGAGCGGAAACAAAGTCTGTAACTATATGAGTAATGCTTACCGGAGAGTGTTTTTAAAGGTCCACTATGGAACCTTTCTGTTGGGGTTTGAGCTTGTCTCCATAGAGATACTATTACTTTGTCTGGAATGTTCCACAGTGTGTCATTACATTTCTGTCTCTATGTTGTTACCTCATCAAAAACATATTATTTAAATTTTATTAGTCTGTCTACATCCCAAAGCTCAAAATGCTCTGTTCCACCTTGTGATGTCATGAAACAGGAGTTTGCAAGTTCCCTCCCACCTTAGTTCAGTAGAGATAGGCAATTCCAGAGTTAAAAACATCTAAATGATTCTAGTGAAGGTGTATGGATCTTAAAAACACAGTGGAGCACTTCCTGTATTACCACATGACATCATCACATGGTAAAATGCTTTCCATTTTAGAGAAAAACTTAACCTAAATCTGCAGGATTTGTGTGTTAAACATGTGTCAATGAAACAAAACGCAACTCCAGGTATGTTTGTGATGGGGAAACAACATTATAACATAAATTAGAAAATATCGTAATAAAGACCCTTAGTCCCAGTAGACCAAAGTCCATAACTAGAATGAGAGCAGGCTGAAAACTCACCTCTTCTCCCTGGCATTCAATACTGTAGTTGAGGTTGTAGTTTAGTTTATCATGTAATCTGTATATGTTTTTTCTGTGTTTGTTGACTTTTATGTGAAGTACTTTGGTCAGCTGAAGTTGTTTTAAATGTGGTATACAAATACACTTGAATCTATACCTCCTGCAGATTCTCACCGTTGGGGACGCTCAGAACTCTGCCCCCGATGTGGTCAGCGGCCTCGAGGAGAGTCACATCTGTGAAACCGTGCTCCAGGAGAACCTTGGTGGCAGAGAGGCCGGACAGACCTGCTCCAATCACCACTATTCGAGGCTGTCGATGGCTGCGTAGGCCACTACTAAGAGGATCATCAGTGCTGTCTGAGGAAATGTCACAACTTTGCATTCCGCCCAAGCTCTTCTTTTATGGAGTCTGTCAACAGAGAGAGATCAGAGGTAAGAATTTTTGTACAATGCATTCTTATTTATTCCTATTATATGCTCAAGAAATGGCAGCAAATCGTACACTAACAGTCAAAAGTTTGGACACACCATCTCATTCAGTACTTTTTTTTTTTTTCTTTTTACTGCTTTCTACATTTTACATACATACAAGAGACATCAAATATAAGAAGCAAGATTTATGGAATTATGTAGCAAAGAAAAAAAGTTTAATCGCTTTTTCAGTAAAGCAGAGGTGGATATTTTGAGGATTTGAAAATAAAATATACACAGAATATATATTTAATTGAGTTATTTGACTGTTTTTCTTTACTATTACACAAAATGCATTCTTGTGAGCTTTAAGCCACATTATAGTGTTGTTACCTCATCAAAAACATGCCTGGAGTTGTGTTTTGTTTCATCTGCTGAGAGAAATGGGTGTGAATGATGATACAGAATTGTTATGATGCTCCGGTGATTATAAAGTCATTCTCTTTGTATGCTTGATTTTATGAACTATAACATCAAATTGCCCAGGGACAACAGATGAAAATTTGCACTGGTGCTACAACCTGGTACAATGCATCTATTTTGTTAAGGTATATATTGTGCACTGTCCCTGTCTCATTAAATAAATAAACTAAACTAAACATTCACACATGTTTCATAGATCCTGAGTCTGTATCTCCAAATCTACCTTTTACCTTTTGTTCATTAGAGATGTGCAATTCCAGGGCTGAAATTATCCAAATGATTCTAGTGAAGGTGTGTGGAGTTCAAAAACATAATGGAGCACTTCTTTTTTCTGTATTGCCATGACATCACAAGGTGGAACAGAGTGTTTTCAGTTTGAGAGAAGAACTCAGCCTAAATATGCGGGATTTGTGAGTTAAACAAGTGTGAATGAAACAGAACACAACTCCAGGTCTGTTTGTGATGAGGAAACAACATTATAGCATAGATTAGAACATAGCGTAACATCTGCTCTTTAACATGCATTCGTACTTGTTGTCTTTTCTATTCAAAAGACAGAACGCAATGGAAACTTTAAACACCACTTAGTCTCAGTTGCACATTCGCCTAAAGCAATAATATGCTAATTTGGTCATTCTCGGACTTATTATTTTTAGCCCAAAGTCATTGTTTGTGGCAAAGGTCTGTACATATTGACCTTACGTAAGCTAAAAGCCATTCATATCCTTGAGCCAATGGAGTGTGCACTGAACATGCTGTACAGCCTGAAAAACACAAGTGTCCCTTTATCCCACATTATATGAAAACAAGGCCACAGTTAGGTCTGTACTACAATACATTTTGAAGTGCGTTTTAGACTTAGACTTTGTCAATAAGGAATAATTATATAAACATAAAATAAAAAATAGATGATAATATTGAAACTACTTTATGCCACTGACATAATAACCCCAAAGCAGGACTATCTTTAAAAAATATTCTAAAAATTCAATATTGTAAAAAAACAAAACAAAGCTTGACCTTCAATAAAGACAAATAAAACATCGTAGAAGTTACTTGTTTGACCCTAAACTGCTCCAATCTTACGATACTACAAAAATGAACAAAAAATTCCCACTAGCACAAAGAAAATGTACACACAATTTAAACTGAGCCCCAAAAAACATTGTTCCAGCTTTCACATATTGAAAAAGTCAGTCTATGTACACTACCAGTCAAAAGTTTGGACACACTTTTTCATTCCTGGTTCTGAATGGACACATGTGGAATGCAGTAAACACAAAATAGACTCAAAATAACTCCAAAATTGTTTTATATTAAAGGAATAAATAAAGAAAATGCTTTGCTTTGCTTTTGCCCTTTGCTTTGAAGCCTTGTTTGCACTATCGGCATTTCTTGACAAGGCACAGCTGTGAAGTGAAAACCATTTCAGGAGGACAAAGGTTTGTAGTGCTGTACAAAAAGCAAAGGGTGGCTACTTTTAGGATTTAACAGATTTAGGATTTGATGCATAATTCTATATATCCTGCAACATGTATTAAATGTCTTCTCTATATAAAATGTAGAAAGAAAAAATATAATGGAAAAGAAGGTGTGTCCAAACTTTTAGACTTAGACAAACTTTCTTGATCCACAAGGGAATTTATTTGAGCGCAGTAGCTCAAAGCGTATTATCACAGCAAAGAGAAACATATGAATATCACAATAAACTCTAAATAAGTAGCAGAAACAGTTACTGGTAGTGTAGTAATTAATTATCATGGCAGGCCTACATTTCAGTCAAAGCAACAGGGTCAGATGTTTTAAAAACAGAACACTGCAGTTATTTCAGTTCAACAGTTGATAAATGTACTGTGTTGTTTTATTATTTTTAAAAACTGAATACCTTTAAATGTTGCCTTTTTAACTATAAATGTAATCCATGTGACAGGCCTACACTTTACATAAAAAATAATATAGAAACCTAAAGTGCTACTCTCCCGGTCCCTCCCTCTCCCTCATATTTACTGTTCAGCCCGGGACCTTAATCTCTGTCTCTTTGCACTTTGAATTATGAGTTGAACTGGAGTTTGCATGTTCTCCTCTGTCTCGGTGGGTTTTCTCGGGGCACATCGGTTTTCTAGCCGGGTGCCTCCGCTCAATTTCATTTCTCTCCAGCGTCTAGGGTCAGGTGTCGGAATACACTAAACGGTTTGCAAGAATCCGAAGAAGTGCGAAGAGCCGTACATTCTGTGTTGGCAACGATTCCCAAGATCGAGGATTTAAAGCCGGAACAAAAGATTGTTTGGTGAATTTTATCAAGGGGAAAGATGTTATTGCCCTTCTTCCTTCCTTCCTTGGTGGCACATTACATACGTCACAACCAAATAGCAGCAATTGGTAAAATTTTTAAAAAGTACCTGCCTACTGTCGAGCGAACAAATCTTAATGCTTCGAGGTCAGACGGTTTCCATAAAGTGAAACCGGCTGATGAATCAGGCTATCGGGTTCCCCCATCAACCCAAAAAACATGCACTATAGGTTAAATCCTCCAGCTAATGGCAGTCCTGACCAAGTCTAGCAGCAAGATCATGGAGATAGGTCCCCGGGCGCCCCATGTGCTGCCCACTGCTCCTGAAAGGACGGGTGATACGCAGAGGAGAATTTTCCTACAGGGCTACTAAAAAAGTACTACTACACCAAAAAGCAAATAAATAAATAACAGCAAAGGAGCATGAGTTAAACGTTAAAACTGTCTACAAACAGATTTAAGGAGATATTGGGTCCATGTCCTGTGTACCTTCCGTGCTGAGTAAAATGTAGATTTGTAAATAGCTTTTTCACAATGGCACATGGACATTTTCCTCTAGAAAACCATTAACTGGAAGCTCCGCAAACCCTACAGTGCGGCACTTCCAGTTAATGGTTTTCTATGGCAAAATGTCTATGGAAATGTAATGTTGTGTATTCTCCACCAGCTTAAACAAATCTGCAAAGAGAATCATATGAATGGCATAAAATAATCTAAATAAGTAGCAGAAATAGTCCCTGGTAGTGTAGTAAATTATAATGGCAGCCCTCGCCACATTGATTTGAGTTTCTTTTTCTGCTATTGCCCACAGATCTCAAATTACTTACATGGTGACACACAACAGGGTCAGATGGTTAAAAAAAATAACAGAACATTGCAGTTATTTAAGTTCAACAATTGATAAAAGTAATGTGCTGTTTTATTATGTTTTCCCAGGGGTGCTCAGGGCGACGGCTGTCTGAATGTATGGACAGCTGTGCACCAGAATTACACACAGCAGGGGCCCATTGAGAAGAATTCAGTTCAAGTGTTGTTTTGTGCTGTGTACAAATAAACTGTAATAGTCCGTTTTGTGGAAAAAAAAAAAAGAAAAAAAGAAAAAGAAAAAAACAGGGGCTTTTTTGGAGCAGAATGTTCCTGCCACTCCACTTTGTAACCACAGCAACACATACACTGGACACGGGCCACGGAGGTACTTGAGGTAAAAGACTGATTGGACAGATGCCATCAAGACAAGTCTGTGGTCTCTGCAGCGGAGAAAGTACAAAAATAAAAGTACAATACTTGAGTACAACTTTTAGGGATCTGTACTTTACTTAAGCACATTTTACACTTTTACTTCACAACATTTTAGATCTGGATTGAAAAGTAAAAAGTAAGGGTGTAACAATAACCAAAATATCGTGATATTGTATTGTTAAAAGTCTCTCAATTATAATAATAAGTTTCTTTGCTTAAATTCATTGTTATGGTGCAGCAATAGTGGTGTGCAAAAATACTGAAATATCAATATATCGTATGTCGGTGTCAATAAGGCATAATTATATAAATGGAAAATAAAATATAGACGATAATATTGAAACTACTTTATGCCACTGACACAATAACCCCAAAGCAGGATTATCTTTAAAACATATTCTAAAAGTAGGGGTATAACAATAACTAAAATATTGTGATATCGTATTGTTAAAAGCCTCTCAATAATACCGTGGGCCATCACAATATATCAAATCAAAGTGTCTTTGCTTAAATTCATTGTTATGGTGCAGCAATAGGGTGTGCAAAAATCGTTTAATGTGATGATACAGGATCGATATCGGGGGCTGCTGTATCGATACATCGGCAAGAGTATTTTTTTGGTTTATTTTACGCAATTATTTTGTTACAGTGCTACAGTTTTGTTGCTTGTTCAGAAACTTGTTTATGCGACACTTTTGACATTGTCATTGTGTTGATGATTAAAATGGGCGTGTTTCATATTCACTTTGCACAAGAAGTGGTTTAATAAAGACAGCCGCGGTTTAGCCTTTATTTTTTATTGAACCGTATCGAATAAATTTGACATATATTGTATTGAATCGAAAGCTCAGTGTATTGAGATATGTATCGTATCGTGGCCTGTGTATCGAGGTATGAATCGTATCGGCAACTTCTTAATGATACCCAGCTCTATGCAGCAATAGCTAAAAAAAACAAAGAGAACTACATCGACCATGATCCTTTGC